GGCCGAGGCGCTGCTGCCGCTGTGTGCGGCAGCGCGGCCACGGTCGGCTCTTTGCCGACCGTCCGGCAATACTCTCCGACCAAACTGATTCCTATTAACATATTCTGACTTAATATGATCAATAATCTGAACTTAAACAAACATGGCTGAGCTGACTTGATGAACCGAACCCTCGGCCGTGGTGCACTCGCTATATGCGAGGCCTACGGCCTTCGGCCATCTCTCGACCAAAAAGGCAATTGACTCGACCAATTCTGATCCTAACTGAACTTAATAAGTCTCACATAAACATATGCATCAAATATGACCTGAAGGTACAGCAAATGCACATTATGAGCATGAAGGCCGCGGCAACGCCCGTGTGCCGCCGACGGCTATACGCCGTCTCTCGGCCGAACTATTTATTTCCACGACAACTCCAGAACATCTCAATGCAAGCATTAAACTGAAACTATTTAAGGCTTAATCACACTGAAGAACATGATCATACAAAAGGCAACAACTCTCGGCCCCATAGCCACCCGAGGCTACGCGCGATAGGCGCGGCCGTCGGCTGGGGCCATTACTTCGACTTTACATCATATTTACTCAGCAAGCTGACCATATTGAACATCAATTAGACTAAACTGATCACTTAATTTAACATGGTTCGGGAGTTGCTGAGAGAATTCAAGGATTTTTCGGTCATCGTCTTAAGTGAACATACTCGCCTATAGGCACGATTTAATCTGAATTTCCGACAATTCACCGAACACTTAACCTTGAGGTAACTTAATTAACAGGGTTATGAACTGAAGAGAAGTTTACCTTACTGATCGCTCGACGGAACTCGGAACTAGGGCGTGCCTCCCTTGCTTTCGTGCGCCGTGCGATAGGTCAAGCCTTGCCGTGCGTTTGTATAAAAATTTAAGGAGAATTTCTTGAGTTATGAAGGCTGCTGAAAGCTGGTCTCTACTGCTGAATATATGTGCGGGAAAGATGGTGAAATTTTCCCAAACCTCCTCCTTTTATAGACGGTGCTAGGGATGATGGCGTGACGATGGGTTGATGTGGCCTCCTTGGCTTTTAACATTTGTACTCATTTGGGATAATTACATGATGACTAATCCCTTCTCAAGCCTTGCTAAATTGCCACGTTTTGTGCTAAATTGAGGAGAAAATCATCTCCTTAGCAATGAAGGAATCTTCGGCTTTTAATACTAATAGGAGCAATATTTCTTAATTCATGACCTTTAATCATTAGGTCACGGCTTATTAACTTGTTGTGGTGATTAATTAAATTAATCACTCAATGAATGTTTAATTATTTAATTAAACATAATGCTTAATTACCAAAATTATTTCGGACGTAAACGGTACGTCGAAAATAGATTTCGGTAATCCCGACTGACTAAATTAATTCCGAAAATAATAAAAGATAACATTATTATATCGGAATTAAACGTAATTTATACCGATAAAATATCGGGATATTACAAGGGTCACGTTGCGTGACGATATCAGATTCATGTTCATGTTATTACCGGTTTTATGTTGAGGTTATGTATATGTCGATATCATGATGTTGTTATTATTTTCAATGTTTACATTAGTATGAGTTTCCACGGAGCACAGTGTCATAGTGCTCATTTCCCATTGTTATCATGTTTTTCAGGTCAGGATGTCGGGCAGGGAGCGTGAGCTGAAGAAGGCTTCAGGACTTTTATGTTTTGACTGTGTATATATTATGATGATTTACGTTTCCGTTGTTGATGGTTTTTGATAAACTTATATTTTGATCGTACTTTTGGAAAACTTTATGCTTTCAGTAACAGTATGATTTTATGAAAGATTAAGATAACGGTTTTCCAAATTAAGTCACGTTTTTACGGTAGCACCCCGAATCAGTTTTCGCAAAGTAAAAGGTTTTATTTTTAAATAACTTTGTGAAATTTTCGCACTCTGATTTTACGATAAGGCGGGGTGTTACAATTGGTATCAGAGCACGTTTCTGCGTCTCTGAAAAGTTTTTCAGTCAGTAATTCTTCAGAAAAACCTGAATCGTCATGCTCACGCCCCGCCTGATGGAAATGACGTGAACAAAACAGAGAATATCGCATCTTGTATATGTATATATATATACATATATATATGTACATATATATACATATATATATGTATATATATATATATATATATATATATATTGGAGAAGATAACAAAGTGGACCATTTCTTCCTAATTTTATGCGGTACGGGAGAGAGAGGTGGGATGGGAATCAATTCAAAAATACTGACTAATTCTCACGAAAAGAGTTTCCACGGAAAAAGGACTTATTTGTACCAAATAACTTGGAGCCAAAAAAAATACGGGCGGATAATATTATGATCAAAGGCCGAAAAAATTAGTTTAAAAGGGCTGGAACATAAATGCTTATTTTGGTCTCGATAATTCTAAGAA